TGAACATAAAATATATGCACAAAAAAATTCTTCCAAGTAAAATGTGGCAATAAAATTAAATATAGATCGAATGCAAGGAATAAGAATATATATAAATGTAGAATGCAAAGAAACAAGAATATAAATATAGATCAATTGAATATAGATAGGATATTGGAGAAGACAACATATCAATACCATTGAAAAATGCAGGAACCATGACCAAATCACATAGAGAGAGAGAGAGTGGATATCTCGAGAAGTGAGAGTAAAACATGAGAAATGAGACTGAGAGAGTTTGTGGGTGGGTGGGATCGATGTATGTGGCTGGCAGTTTGTTTTATATAGGGGGGCATGGACATCACTGCTGGTTTTTAAATAGAACCGACAGTGAAGGTGGCTATCACTGCCGATTTCTAAATAGAACCGACAGTGAAGGTGCATATATGTAAAGGATATATTTATTTAGATACTGCAGTGGGAAAGTTTTAACAAGAACGATATATTTATTTAGATAGTAATGAAATACATCAAAAACTTACAAAAAATTAGAAATAAGTTACATATACGATAACAAATACCTTACACTAAAATTCCATATACGATAACAAAGACCTATTTGCGTACAGGTCAATGTTACCATCAATGTGTATCAACACATTATAATTTAACTACCTCAGTAGCATTCTTCTTGCACCAACTAGGATTCAAACAACAACACCGAGGTGGTCTACGAGCTATACCGGTTAGAGATGATAAGGTGCCATCGATGAATCCATGCCTCTGCTGTACATGGACTTTTTCTCGGTACAATCTAGAGCACATCGGATTCAGCTCAGCACCACAGCTGATGGCTCTGTGAACCTCGTGGCATCTCCAATCTTCGGCGTTGCTCTATCTTCAGTAGCATTCTTCTAGTACCTCATGTGTGCACTATTTTGGTGGACTACGATGCATAACGATATCTGTGGTTTGTTGTGAGAGGAAAACATTATATCATGTCTGATAAGGCCTGGCTGAAACCAACATGCATGGAGATGCTAGCTCCTGGCTGAGGGTCATTTTATAAGGGCTAGCAGTCGTGGTATATTTTTATTTCTGCACTAAAGTTGTCGGGTAGGTTCCAACTGTTGTGGTCATGGAAGGGAGGCATGTGAGGAGCATCAACCGCTGTTTTAGTTTAAAAACATGGAAGCAACCGATCGTGATAGAAGCTATCACTGCCGGTTTTAAAACTAAAAGCATGTGAGGAGCATCTATTAAAAAATCACTATTGATGGTTTTCTTCCGAGAGGTTTAAAATCTCGGCGTTGGCGATCCGGCTTCAAATCGACGCGATCAACTCTGCAACCGTTACACCATCGCTCGGGTTTGAGCAAACGATTGACCTAGAGAAGGCTTTTCTATCAAGAGCACAAGCAAGAAGGTAAAACGGTTTTTAAAACTAATGACGCGAATATCAATAGAAGGTTCAAGAACTCGGTTCCAAAGGACTAATCGACATGGAGGAGATCAAGAACGGGGCCTGGATCATCATCTTTGTCACCACAGCCATTAAAAATTCTGGTTTCTCGATATAAAAAAACACTAATTGTGTTTGGAGGCCGCTTATGTGTTTATAGTCTAAGACTCACCTAGGGTTGGGGACCTTTTTAAGGTCCGACACGATACATGGCCAAGTTGGCCCAAATATAAAAAAGTTTGACACAGAGTGATCCACGGACCTTCTGAGCTTCAACCAGATCCAAAACGTGTGTCGTCGTCCCTTTCCAACGCATCCAAGAACGGCCCGTTTCGACGAGAGGAAGTTATGACCAAACAGTGGCCTGCTAATCCGAGGGTGACGTGGCATGAGTTGAGGGGAAGACCATAGGATAGGGAATTGGAGTTCGACTCTATCTTGGCGATGTTTGGAGGCCGCTAAAAAAAATGGTTTGATTTTTTCTTTTATCACATCATAATGCATTTTTTTCTTTTATCACATCATAATGCACTACTAAATAATAAATGCAAAATCAAAAAAAGTTTGGCCCGCCTAGGATTCGAGCGTGGGTCTCAGAGTACAGAGTGTGCGGCCTTAACCGCTGAGCTAGGATAGGGAGTTCGTTTAGTTTGCTTTTCTTTATTTATTTATTAATAGAAATAATGCAGTTAGTTTATATTCTAAAATAACACAAAAATTTGTGTCTTGATTATTTAATTTTATGATAATTAATTAATGGTCTATAATTATCAAATAATAGTGTTTGTGAACATCATCTTAATATTTGATTACATAGTTAATAATTAAATTGTAGAGATGCGCACAAAATATAAATTAAATATTCAGTGTGAATTACTGATACAACGTCTGCATAATGATTACATAGTTAACAATATCTAACTATCTTTAGGTGCATCAACAATGAGGGCCTCATTGTGATCAATTCGTATGTAAGTAGGTTCGTCACCCTCTTGAAGGATAGGTAGGGGTACGTTCGCCTCGAATGGAGGCATTTCCTGATAGCCCCTGTAGTCTTCTTCGTCCATCACTCCATCGACACCGACAATCTTCCTTTTCCCTTCTAGGACTATTTTTAGCCTTCCTTTTGTCTTGTTGTCCCTTGCATAGAAGACTTGCATAACATCTCTTGCAAGGACGAAGGGGTCGTCTCTGTATGCGGTCTTAGTGAGATCAACGGTAGTGAACCCTTCGCTATCAGTGTTGATTTTCTCGAGCTGGACCCACTGACAACAAAAAAGAGCTGCCTTCAACAGACCGTAGGCTAGCTTCTATATCTCCTCTATGAAACCATAGTATGTCGCCTATATGTTGCCGTTTTTGTTGTGAGCATCAAAATGAACACCATAATTTTGGTATGTGCTCTTTCCATTTTACTTTTTTGTGTAAAATGTGAATCCATTGATCTCATACCCTTGGTACTTAAGATATGTACTCGAAGGTCCCTTGGCTAAGGCATCCAGTTGATTATCCAACTTTATTCCAAGCAAGCGACATCGCAACCAGCTGACAAATTCCGCCGTATGTTTTTTATCCAGCCAAGCCTGTGACTTGCTCGGATATAGAGTTTGCAGCAATTGCCTGTGCTCGTCAATGTATGGCATCACACCCTCGGCTTGCTGGAGAACAGCGAACTGTGCCTTATTATACCTGACAACTGATCGAAGCCTTTATCACTCAATCCGTTTGTCGATTTGAACTCTAGCAGCATGATATCGGCTTCCAGTTTATTTATTGGACAATTCCTATACAATGGTGTTTTGCCATCTTGTCTCATTTTCTCTAGCTTTCTCAGTTGTTTTTCACTAAGACATCCGGTCTCTACATTACGTAGCAGCTGAGAAATGCCATCGTTATCCTCGGTGTCGTCAGCTAGCGTGTTCCTAAACACATTATTAACTGTGGCCATAGGTTCCGTGTTGACACCGGGTTCCTCGTCAGCATCGTGGATGGCTACGTCAGGCATGTCCACATCATCATCGTTTTCCTACAGAACATTCATACCGACCTCGCCATGCATAGTCTATATCGTATAGTTTGGCATGAACCTCCTGGTAATCAAGTGCGATCGTATAGACTTAATTTAACAAAAGTTCCTATGATTCTTGCAATCTTTGCATGGGCAGAAGACAGGGTTTCCATTCCCAGCATGGGCTTTGGCATCGATGATAAACTAGCTGACGCCATGCATATACCGTTTGTCCGTTCGGGGCAGATGCATCCACTCTCGATCCATCTCTGCACAAAAAAAAACCGAGACAGTAATTACAAAGAATTAATAAGAAATTAAGCTTTATAAACAACAATTGTAGCTCAAAAGTAGTATTTTTGGAAAACATTATTGTACACTAATTATTGAAAGATTGAAATTGGTAGCCCCGGCCCTGTAAATTGAAAATCGTAGTAAAAAATAATTATTGCACAATATTGAAGAACAACTATTCTACTCTACTTCTAAGAACTAATTATAGCATCACATACTAACAATGATGATCTTGACCATCATGGAATAATTAGCTAGGAATCTAAATGTGTTCGTAGACACCAACCTTTTGGATGATTGATTCACCATAATTTGAGCCTTGCACAAATGTCCAATTGAAAAAGTGCTCTCTAGAATGAAGAAAGAACTAGAATGAGAATCAAGCAATGTAGCCATCAAAACGAAGCTAATTAAGCAACAAAATCAAATGAGTGAATATTTGTTACTAACCTTAAAGCAAAAAGATCAAGCCATTCTTCAAAATCCAAGCACTAGCTTCATGGTGAAGAGTAGCCGCAATAATGGAGGAAAGGGTCCAAACGCACGCCTCTGTTCTCGGGATGGAAGAGAGGAGGAAGAAGAGGACGGCTGCAGCCTTTTTGTGTTGTAGGCTTATCACCGTCGGTTCTTGGTTAGAACCGACAGTGATAGAGCCAAATCACTGTCGGCTCTTGGCTTAAACCGGCAGTGATGAGTGCCCGCCAAAACACTATCGGTTGAAGCCATAAACCGACAGTGATGTGATCCTTCACTGTCGGTTTTAACCGAGCACCAATCATTTTTTCATTTTCGAGCTCATAACCGGCAGACAGTGATGTGATCCTTCACTGTCGGTTTTAACCGAGCACCAATCATTTTTTCATTTTCGAACTCATAACCGGCAGTGAAGGCAAATCACTGCCGGTTCTCATAAATCCGGCAGTGATGATGCCGACAGTGATGTGCAAATCTGGTGTAGTGACACATGCACACCATAAGCCAAGAGACATGTCGCACAACCTAACTCACGCCATAGTTATCTCACAAACTCAACCTAGGTCATTGATCACGTTAACAATCACTCATCACAAAACAAATTATAAATACACATATCAACCTTGAGTTCACACCCACTTCCATCTAATGGCCCAGGTTATGTAGAGCCTTCTCCCGTCATTATTTATATAGTTGCTTCACGTTCTTGCGTCTGTCTCCACACCTGTGCATCTCTCCTTCCCAGACGTCTCCAGGATAGAGCACCCTTTCCGACGGACGTGAATGGCCGTCGCCTTCTCCCCCAGCAGCACTGTAACGGCCTGTGCTCTGCGCGGCGGAGCTAGCCTGCTAGGCAGCTGCTTCCTCGTCCTGCGGTCACGTCGCGCGGGGAGGCTGCAGTCGGCAGTGACAACGAGGAGGAGTAGGACGTGGTGCGCTGTCATCGTCGGGTCCACCGCGGTGCCCGAGGCCTCCGCAGAGGAAGGCCGCCACGGGCGGAGGTCGTCGGAGCAGCTGGCCTTGCCGCCTGAGCTGGTGGACGAGCTGGTGGAAGAGGCTCTCGTGTGGTGCTCGCAGCACGGCCTCATCGTCGGCGACAAGAACCACCCGGTGAAGTCACATTATTAATTTATTATATACCGCATATGCGTGCAGACATGCTATATGTCCTTGTTTATTTGATCATTCTTTTTTTTCTATAGAAAAGATTTATTCCGGTGTCTTTACCCGAAGATGTCGCCGCTTTTAGTAGGAACCAAACAAATGTCACTAATGTCTATTGCCCACCCAGATATGATAATTTCAATATCTCTTCAATATCGGCTTTTAGTAGGCATCATTTGTTTTACAATAATCATATATCATAGAGTTCCCATGACACTTTATATTTTAGGTCAGGCGGCGTACTCATGTATTGTAACGAGACGACCTTCATCACATGAATACATGTCATTAATGTCTATCATAAATCCAACCATCAGACTCAACTATATAAGAAGCAAATTATTCATATGATTAAGGGAAAGTTTTATGCCTCATTTTTTGGCCAAAAATCAGTCATAAAATTTGTTAGATACCTTATATTTGAAGACAAAAGGAGTACTCCCTCCGTTCCAAATTATAAGTCGCTTCGACTTTTTTTATTTATCCATTTTACTATGTATCTAGACATATTATTTATCTAGATGCATAACAAAATAAATATACCAAAAAAGTCAAAATGACTTATAATTGGAATGGAGGGAGTACATAACTTCTAATAAACCGGTGACAATTCACACTGTTTCCAAAAGAAAATTAAGGATGCCAATTTGTGACAATTTTACTTTGGGAGACTTGTTTGGCCCTCTGCCATGAAACAAAACGTTATTAAAAGTTGAATTATTGGCTAACGCTATGCCACATACTGAGGTAGACCAATAATTTCATATCTCTATGGTCATAATCAACTTGAGTTTGGGAGACAAAACATCGTTGTCACGAGATTTGCTTTCACGTGTATTTTATTGTTTTAGACCCATTGAGCTGATGTTTGTATGTATTTGATTGTTCAACCCCCCACCCCCACCACCATAAAAAATTTGGCTGCACTTTGTTTATAAAAAAATTGGCCACAACTTTGGTTATAAAAAAATCATTTTTTTTCTAAATTGGTGTATCGTGCTTTTATTGACGGTTGGGACAAAGTATTATATTGGTGTCCACGTGTCACTATCGATTGCCCCCAATCAGGAAATATGTAAAGAATCGCCCACGCGCTCCATGGGAGTTACGTTTCGCTTTCACAATTCGTCTGGTACAGGAGAGGGAATCTTTAATAATACACTGCCTCACATAAGACATTTTTTTAAAAATTACCCAACAATGGGTCTTTACGTCCATCCATTTCTTTGTTCCTTTTACATTGTTTTTTCTACTTATGAACTTGTACCACATGTACGCACTGGCAAGCTCGAATAATATCCCAGAGTCAATTCCAAACTATCATCACAAAAAAGAAGTATTCACCGTGTAATCTGCAGGGTCAAGAATGAGAGTCTTTCCATCTTTAGCCCAAATCATTATATAAATCTAGTGCTCGCTGCACGAAATATAATGAATACATGTGTTAATGCTAGAAGTATGTCATTTGAATTTTAATTATGCGGACAAGGTAAAGGTAGACAAACATAATATTGTACGGGACTATTATGCTTTGCATATCTTGAAATTGAATCAATGCATTTCCTATGTAGGTCACCACTTCAACGTCAGAGTTGTTTTCCCATGTAGGTCACCACTTCAAGGTCGAGTAGTTGTTTTTGCATGTCATTTTTAATCTCGACAGCATAGGATGCAATGATTCCTACATGCATGTATCTTTTAGACACCCATAGTCAGCTGACTGATATGCTCCTTCGCATGTGATAAGTATTAATAGGCACTTTGTTCTCCTTCGTAACATGTTCGCTTGAACTACATCAGCAGTACTTTTTAGCAAATGAACAGTATTTTTCTCTCACAACAAATCAACATAAGTATCAGCATAAGCCAAATTTCAGCGAAACGAACAGGGAAAGCTAGCATCAAACCAATGTATCGAGCTTTCAACATCAACAACTAAAGAACAAATTACAATATCGTGGTATAGCCCTTAGGCTCTTCATACAAAGGCCCTTTGGCAACGAATATTGAGGGCTTCGAATAATACTGCAACAAGGCCACGAACAATTCCACATGTTTGTTATCTTCAACATGGTAGGCATCGTCTCTTAATCGCCACCTTCGTCATCAAGGAAATGATCAGCCTCATTTGGCATAACATGATCCGTTGTGGGTAAGTGTTGTCTCTCATAAGCCATATTTGAGTTGTCCGTAGGCGTATTTGGTCCCTATGCATCCATATTTGGTCCATCGACATCAGTGGTGTCTATGTTGCCAACTGCATAAGACGTGGAACTACCTTCTCAACGTTTAGTCCAAATCATATGTAACCCTCATCAAACAATATATGTGCTTCGTCATCTCTCAGCACGCATGTCTCTTCATGGCATCAATGAACCTATAAACCTCTAACTGGTTTGATAGATCAAGTCTTGATAAATTGTACATCCATGACCTTTCCATCTTGAACTAAACACTTAATCTATTTTTTCTTAGAAATATGCTTGTCTGTTTGTTATTTTAATAATTCAAATAAACATTACAATCGTTAACACATAATTTATCAAATAGGTTCAAATAATTAATTAATCTATTAAAAAACAAATTTATCATATAGATCTAAATCATGAAAATCTAGATCTAGATCTAGAGATTGCTAAATCATATGTTTGAAGGAATATATTTCCTATAAATATGCGCTTGACCATCAAATATTGTATGCCGCCACGGGGCCTTCCCTGGATGAGCCTTTCTCCATGCTTTCTTGATATGCAAGGATCTTCCCCTGCCCTGAGGAGCTGACGAGCGGGCCCGGAGCCCCCCGACTCCACAGGCTTGGGGAAGTTCGTTGTCCTAATGTGTCACGCCCCAGCATGACCTGCCGAGGGAGTGGCCGACAGTGCCTCGCGGCTGTGGAACAGGATGTGGTGTAGTGCTTCTGCGCCTATCAGGCTTTGAGGACTTGACAGATTCCGGAGCTGGCTTGTGGTCTTGGCTCGGGGCATTTGTTGGCCCCAAGCCAAGGCTAGGATGGTCACCAGGGCTGAGGAGAGGCCGGGGCTCCCGTTCGCTCGGGAATCCCCACATTCTAGTCGAGCCCCCGAGCCTCGAGCGATGATAGCTCTTGCCTTCTCAGGCTTGCCTCCTTGATATCGGAGGGCTCCTTGACGGAGGGACATCTACAGGCTGCCAAGCTATCCTTTTTGCCAGATGATGCGCGTAAGTGCACCCAATGGGTATAGCCCCCAAGCCCCCAGCTGATTCAAAGAGTCAGCCAATGTGTTAGCCGGATTGTCGCGTCCTCAACTCAGGAACTTAACATACCCCTATGTTAAGAGTCAGCCAAGGTGTTAGCCGGATTGTCGCGTCCTCAACTCAGGAACTTAACATACCCCTATGTTAAACTCTCGTCAACACCCACTCTACAATAGGGGAAACCAATGGTTTAGTGTCGGATGATAATGCCTATCTAATTGGATTACTGACACAACTCTATAAATAGAAAGAGAAGCAAATGCGCCATACCACACAAACATTGGTGATGCACACAACATTCACTATCACTAATATGGAAATGATTTTTACTAATGGTAAAAAATAATCTGCAGGGCCGGTTCAGAAAACCACCGCTATGCCATCGATGTAAAGATAGAGCGCTTTTAACGTCGGCCTACAACTATTAGTTCAAGATCATAATCTCAACTATGCAAGACACAATTAATAGTGTTGATGGTGCAATCAGGACATCTAGTGACCAAAAGGAATGTTAATGTTACATTTAACAAGAAAAGAAGGATATAGGGATGAATAGTATAGAAGATATAAGAGTATCTTCAATAGTTTGGTACACCCACTCTCATTCTTTATTTTTTTACATGATACCAAAAAACATCAATCCAATAACATCCTAACTATCAATGTATCGACCAAAAACAGAGGCATCATGCACGTGCAATGATAGGTAGATGATCGCGCAATAATAGGTAGATGATCGATGCTCCCTAGCTATCTGTGTTGGCGCCCTGGTGCTGTTCTTTTTTTTCATGGTGCTCCCTGTTGTTCCTGACTACTACTGTCGTTTTCATCTGGAGGTTCACTGAAATTGGATCTCTCCGGACACTATTTTCAAATATGAAAATACTGATAGATAGATCTAGCAATGGAGATATCAGTTTGGATGTTGAGTGTAAGTTATGGTGCTAGATGGATGGCCACAACCTGACTATTTTCATGTATGAGAATACTGGGAGGTAGAGAGGGCAATTAAGATTCCCATTCGAAGGTTCTATATATTAGCTAAGATGCCGTAGAAAAAAGGGGCTACTTATTTAGTACATGGTCGGCGGCTTGGTACATACGGGAGATGATGTCCTATATATTTTTTTAGAATAAATAAAAGAGAATTGTTGATGGAGTGTATTTTTCTTTTTTTGGTGATTACACAGTACAACTTAGACACAACGCACGCACACTCATCCCTATGAACGCACGCACGCATACCCTACCCCTATGAATATCTTCGACGACTGGGCCGGTAAATCCTGGAGGATATCTAAAGAATTGAGTCCTAAAAATCTAGTTTGGAACATTTCAGTTGGATACAATTTTATCATTGTGATCATGGCAAATTGTATTGATTATTGACAAACTGTCTGTTGCAGAGATCTGGAAAAGCACCTGGTGTTGGTCTACTACATGCTCCATTTTCTCTTTTGCCAATGTCATTTCCAAAATTTTATTGGGATCAAGCGCTTGAGTTGGCTCCACTTTTCAACGAGCTTGTTGATCGTGTGAGCTTGGATGGGGAGTTCTTGCAACAGACTTTGGCAAGGTTATTCTCTTATGGACTTAAATGATTAATCCCAACAATAGAAAATCTGCATAAAATGATTTATCTGAAACGTCAAATAGTTCAGTAATGATGAATGAAACTTCAAAATTTTTTGAATTGGATATAGGTTCAGTGCCAAATCAAAACAATTGGTTACTTTTACCTGTCACTACTACATGTTTTTATGTGTCAATGAAGTGCATTTTTTAGGAGAACAATGTAATCATAAAGTAGTCAAAAGATGTAATAACCTAGCATGCATGCTTTGTTTCAAGCGCCTGAAAACTCTGAAAGTTACCTAAAAGCCACCCTTCTCAAAAAAAAAAAAAGCCTCGAGACTGTTCTTTTGAAGATAGCAACTCTTCCAGTGCTACTCTGATTACTTGGAACTCACAATTCTTTCAGGACGAAAGAGGTCGATTTGTTCACTAAAAGGCTTTTAGATATTCACTCGGAGATGATGGAACTGAAGAAGGAAGAGGTAAACATGGCCTTTTTCAGTTGCATTCATAAATTAACAGAAATTAATAATCTCGCATTCTTGCTAACTTAACAAATTGTTAATATCTTTCAGGAAATACGTTTAGGTCTTACCAGGTCAGACTACATGGTAGATGGAGAAACTGGCTTGCTTCTTCAAGTGGAGCTCAACACCATTTCTACATCTTCCAATGGGCTTGCTTGTGGTGTATCAGAGCTTCACAGGTCTAATAAGAGAAGAACATCAAATTCTATTGAATTACAGTCATGCATGTTTGGAATGACACAACATAATAAGTGCAAATTTTTCACTGATATAATTGAATGTGTCACGTCAAAGTCACAGTGATTTCCCCACTGTAAGCACATAGTACATCATGGTTTGTTTGTCATCCTGGCTACAACCTTATGAAAGTCAACATAGTTATTCATTGATTTCACATTCAGGCAGACGGGAGTGAAAATATTCACTTGGATTAGAACTTTAAAAGTCTACACATCACCATTCACCAGAGTTCTATTTGATTGTTTAATTTAGTAGAAAGGTTTTGCCTTCTATTTTCTCATCATTTCCCTATTGCCAAAAGATAACTTGAATAGTAATGTGCAATGTGCAGAAACCTGGTTAGGATGCACGAGAGGGAACTTGGTTTGGATCAAGCAAGTGTCCTTGGAAACACAGCTATCACCCAGCATGCTGGAGCGTTAGCTAGAGCATGGGCTGAGTACAACAATCCAAGGTTGCTATGACATGATGCAAAATTTCGTGTTCAAAACACTTTGTTATGAAGTCTTTAAGTCTTATAACTAACTAAAGTTTCTGTTATCAGTGCAGTAGTTCTGGTGGTTGTTCAACAAGAAGAGAGATATATGTATGACCAGTATTGGATCACTGTTACCCTGAAAGAAAGATATCCTTCAAATATAACCAAACATAACTTTTTTTGAGGATCTAATTTGATATGGAAAATTTAATAGCATTCAAACCTTTATAAATCCTGTATCTGAATCTAATACATATACACCAAGCAGTTAAATAAAAATCTCTCTCTTAACTCTGTTTCACACGTATGGGGTGAGAACTATCCGCAAAACTCTTGCGGCAATAGAAGCAGAAGGGAACCTCCGTCCTGATGGAACACTAGTCATGTAAGTACGTTCTCTTTGTCTTCATGAAAATTTATATGGAATGTAAGATTGGATGATTGAAGTGACCTTCTTGATCGGCGGGCGTGCCTAGAATACGCTGGAACGTACTCTAAGTATTTTGCGCATGCAAATAAAGCAGGGGAAACCTATTTTCCAAAAAAAAGTGACCATCTCAACTTTTTCCATGTAGAAATGGGTGCCCGGTTGCTCTTGTCTACTTTAGAGCAGGTTACTCACCGATCGATTACCCTTCAGAAGCAGTACGTTTTCTAATCATTTCGATATATGAACTATATCACTTTTACCTTCTGTTGGCTAAAATAGTTACCTTGGAATGCTGTTATCACAATGCGAAAAATAAACTGTAATTGAGGTTATTGTGGTTCACAAAAGTATCACTCGATATGTAGGAATGGAGAGCAAGAACTTTAATTGAGCGTTCTTCTGCAATAAAGTGCCCTTCAATATCATATCATCTTGTTGGGACAAAAAAGATTCAACAGGAACTGGCAAAGGAATACGTGCTTGACAGGTAAGTTGTTTTTCTCTTTGCAGATGAACAAAGAGATGAAACGGAATAAAAAAAATATTCCTTCGATGAGAGATAATCCTTTATATTTCTGTAATTATCAGCTATCAAAACAATATGTAGCAGCTATTCATTATGCCCGTCTAAGATTTCAGTCTTCATACAACAGTACTTCTTTTCCTCTTATCATCATGCACTTCTTACCAGGTTCTTTGACAACAAAGGTGACATAAAAAAAGTACGGCAATGCTTCGCAGGACTCTGGAACTTGGAAAATGATAGTATAGTAATGTCTGCTATTGAATCTCCAGAGTTGTTTGTCCTTAAACCCCAAAGGGAGGGTGGAGGTATGGCCTCTGTCTGAAATGTGTAGTAGTCAAATTATTTCTGCATTCATCACTGAATAGGTATGTGTAATGCCATGCACAGGGAATAATATTTATGGTGATAATCTCCATGAAACATTGGTTCGTCTGCGAAAGGATGGAGGAAATGAGCTTGCAGCATACATCCTAATGCAAAGGATATTTCCGCCAGCATCACCCTGCTATCTTGTTCGCGAGGGTAAATGTGCCAAGGAAAACGCGGTTTCTGAATTTGGGGTTTTTGGAGCCTATCTGCGGTAACAAAATCATAAACAAACCACTCTAGTAGTTCATATAGTTGCATTGTCCAGTGAGAGTTTTATGGCTGAATGTAGGAACAAAGACAAGGTAATCATAAATGACCAGTGTGGTTATTTGATGAGAACAAAGGCAGCTGCACTAAATGAAGGTGGTGTGGTTTCTGGATATGCGTTTTTGAACAGCATCTTCTTGACATGAGGAGGTAATAGATGGCTTCATTTAATATTTAAGTTGTTTACTTTTAGGAAAGGAAATATGCTAACACCATACAAACTTTTTATACAAGGAAAGCCTAAAAGTTTAATTTAGTTGCCATAGCATAGAGATCTAAAACGTGAGCATTATGCATAGAAAATTAAATCCCTTTTACCTATGACATGAAATGTTTAATTTTTCTTTTGTATATCATTTAAGTTCTAGATGCATAATAATGCTCAAATTTTCTAGTTCCTTATCTATTACAATTGGACTAAACAAGCATATAGAAAATGCTCACATCTATTACTATAAAGTTTTATTATTAATCTGACTCTACTTAATGCATTCTAACAGCTTTATTTAGTTATAAACTGCAGATTGACATGCAGCTCTCCTTCGTTGTTCGATAAATTGTATAGTGTTAGAATTGGTCAATTGGAGACAGATGTTACCTGAGAAAACTGCTAGTGGAAGTTCAGCTTTTGCGAATCTGCATTTGGTGAAATGCCTAAATCTGTATGGGACAGGGGAGATGAATACGCACCCTGTGTATTCTGACTGCAATAAAAGCATTTTTAAAAGAATGTCTGTAAAACCAATGCACTACAAAATAAATGGTTGATGATTTTTTTGAGATAAACAGATCAAGCTCTTGAAGGAAACTATGTTAGTAGCATATGGACCAAAACTTTGTTGCATTTGCCACCAGACAGTAAACATACCTCAAAATGGTTTATGATGAACAATTTAACAACAATCGTGTCTTCTTGTTCCTTTTCTCCATGGCCAATCCCATTGTACCGTTACCCAAGACCGCCACTCACAACCTGACTTTGAAACGACTTCTGAAAATAGATACTTGATTACGATAGTACTACATATAGGTCACAGGAGTTTAGAGTATCTAGTACAAGATCGCCGGACTTGCCTGTATCGAGCCACACCTCGCAGCCAGGAGCCCAGGACCCTACGGCCAAGTAGTTCCAGCCTATCCTCTCCCACAGATGAACACGAGTTCAAGAAGGCGCATGCAGGCACTGTGTTATGCCTTCTCGCCTTCGAAGCCACTTTGGGCCATGCAACTGAGCATTAGGCTTCCCAATGTGCTTGGCGGTAATTGGGCTTGGTATGTCTTGGACCACCTCTTCAATTCTAGAGCCATCAGTTGACGTTGGTGCTTCCATTGTCGCCATCTTGTCCTTGATGCCAGTAGTACTGGAGGAGGGGAGGAAGGTGTCGTAACATGGTGATGGCTCAGGGGTTTCCAATTCCACTTGCACATATGTTGGACACATATTCGAGTTGGCACATTTGAAAAAGGGGTCGAAACGGAGCTGAACACAGACTCTAGTGGGGCATCAGATTGTTTTGATGGGTCCACTCAGGGACCATCAAAATACAAGCTATGTAGTGAGGTTTCTAATAGTGCCTAGGGTTAGGCATCAGATTGTTCCGATGGTTAACCCTAGGAAACCATCGAAATATGTGTTAGTTGTACCAGAGAGAGTGCGTAGTCGTAGGTCATCGGATTGTTCTAATGCTCGGCATAGGAACATTCTGATGGCGAAGTTTCATTTCTAGAACTCTCTGCATAACCATCAGATGGAGAAGGCATTCATCCTATGGTTGACTGTAGCGCGGCATCGGAGTATACTCTACCCTAGCCATTGAACGAGCCCAATGGCTAGTTTCCTTAGTGGGCGCTCGTGAGGCCATTAGATTGATCTATGAGTCCTCAAAAGGAAGCATCGGATTATAAGCTACCACGCCATTTTGCCATAGCCCATAATCAGATGGCAATCTCTAGTGGGCATCAGAACAATCTGATGCCTATGCAGAGTGCCTAGTCTGCAGGCCCAACAGCTAGTTGCTTGCAGGGGCTTATAAATAGGTGTTGGCCAGCTCTTGGAGACATCTCTTGGCATTCTAAGCAAAACAACACACTTGTGTTCATCCAAAAACACCTTTCACTCATCTCTTGACTTGTGCTTCATCCAAATTGAGATTGGGAGAGATCTAGTGCATTTGATTTGGAGTTTTGCATATGGTGGCACTAGTTCTTCTATTGGGCTGCGGATTTCTTATTACTCTTGGTGGTTGCCGTCACCTAGATGGCTTGGAGCAGCTGTGGTCATTGAGGAAGAGTTTGTGATTGTTCTTCGCCTCCGACCAATGATACTGCGAGAGGTTTTGATCCCACCTTGCAAAGTGCAAAGGGATACTCTAGTGAAATGCTCGTGGCTAGTTGGAGTGGACCATTTGATTATTTCTTGTGGCACCCAAATTGTGGATCTAGCTTGTCATGCTAGTTAGGACATGAATCATCACTTGGGGACTCACCACAACGAGGACATAGGCTGCAGACAAGCAACTGAACCTCATGGATAAATCTTGTGTCTATCACTTGCCCTCGTTGGTTTGCTCTCTATACACTTGTTCATTACTTTCCTTTACTTGCTAGTGTGTGGTAATTGTTTGTCTTGCAAGCTAGAGTAGGTAGGTTGTTTGTAGTTGTAGTGGTAACTAGTTTTTAGTTTCTCTCTTTTAGTAGCTCTCTAGTGTGGCTTGTGTGGTGTTGTGCTCTAGTTTAGAACCCAAAGCTACTAGAATTGTGTAGAGGCTTGCTTTGGTGTTAGTAGGGCTAGAGCAAGTTGTGGATTTTAGGATCTCTTGTTATACTAATCACTTTACTCTAGTGTTGTGGTTTTGTATAAAAATTTTATAGGCTATTCACCTCCCCCTATAGCCATCTAGATCCTATCAATGGGTTATAGATTCTTAATCATAAAATTTGGAGTACCTGACATGTGTGTCGATGCAAACATGATGTCTAGGGATGCTACATTCTTTGAGAATGAATTTCTTATGAAAGGTGATGAACTTGGCACATCGAGTCAAGAACCTGTAGGTTCCCATGTTCCATTTGTGCCAATAAAACACATTGAGCAAACATCCGTGGAAAATCCTGAGGGGGATAATAATGTGTCACACCCAAATTTAAAGATAAATCTGAGTACTAACTATATGTGTGGAAGTCAAATCACACATATAGCGACAAATTATAATAGTATCAAAAGACAATGCTTTTTTATTATATAATGAACAACCATATTACATAGAGACAAGATATTTATCAGAGTAGCAGAAATATACATTCTAATCTTCAAGTAAAGCCTCTAGAGCCACAGGTACAGTTGACTGGAGGTACATACGCCTAGCACTCCTCAGAAACTTAACCAAGCCCCGCCTTCTATTACCCATTCAGGAGTTTTATCCATGTAATGAAAATAAAACAAGCGTAAGTACATATCGTACTCAACAAGAATAACATGGGGTTCATGAAGCTCAAAAGGCTGACACTGGTTTACTGTGATTAGCTTTTAGTGAGCCATAATTTTAGCAATTGAGTAGCAACAATTTTAGCACAAGCTCGTATAAATACATGATCAGGTAAACATGAATAATGAGTAGCATAAACAATTAACCATTTGTGATCATCTATTTCATAAGGGTACAAGGCCGCTCGTGACCGTAAGCACGGCTGATATACCAGTTTTACGCTCTATAGAGGTTGTACACTTTCACCGTGAGTCGTGATTTACCCTTTCACCCGAGGTAGCTAATCTCTTGACCCAATGAAGGTCAGCAGGGTTCACTATGAAGTCTTTCAGAAGTTCATCTAACAAGTTAGGGCCGCTAGGCTTCCAATCGGCAAGCAAACGTAGTAACCCCTTTTAAATGGCACAATTTCTTCGTGGCTATACTCATAAGAACAAAGGTTGTCCTATACCCGTCTCGGCAAGCCCCTTTTGTGCCCTTTCGGGTAACCACTAACAAGCTAGATAAGATCCTCATACTTAACTAAAACCAGACCCTTGTAGCCCTCACGGTTGTACTATAAGTCCCGGATGATCACTTATAGATAAATCCTTAAATAGAGGAATCTAGAGCATCACAAAAACTATGCTCTAGCCCCCTTATTCGTTGTTGCTAAAAAGCATCTTTTAATGTTTATTGCATAATTCATTAATCAAGTTACAAGATCATGGTCTTTAATTGAGCGCTAGCATCATACTACCCAATGCATAAACCCATAGGTGACAAGGTACAAGCACTAGAAAATCCTTAGTGATAATCACGGTAGACACATGCATTATGAATTAAATAAAATTAATGGTGAATATGACAATAAGGATGATCACATGCTATACTTGTCTTTTGCACTTGCTCATTACTTTCTTAAACATTAGCATATGGTCAACACCTTCTGGCCTTCAGCACTCACAGACAGCTCTTCTTCTACTCACAGATCATAGCAACCAAGCACACCAGCAAACATATAAACAACAAATAAAAGCAACTAAGAACGGTACACAACACGAGAGAAAACAACGTACTAAAATAGAGCTAGCTGCTACGGTCTCAAGATCACAAGAAACACTGAGAACGGAGCTACGGTTGAAAAGAAATGACTACTGACATTTTATATTATAAAAGAAAAGAAAAACCTACATGCTGGATTTATTTTATTTAAACAAAACCATGAGAAACTTATTAATTTAAATTAAACAAATAATATTTATACTTAAAAACGGAGCTGAAGCTAATCATATTTTATTTATAAATATTTTGATATAATTTATGCCAATTCAATTTTAATTTGCAAATACAAACTGACATGTGAGAGCATCGAAACAAGTTTAATGTACGCATTTAAACCAGCAAGTTATACATTAAAAACATATTAATGTTAGCAATTAATTAACCTTATTAGTATTTATATGTAAAACACCAAAGTATAGCGCCTATGTTGCTTTGAATTCACAAAGCCGGTTGAATATTTAATCATATTTTATTTTATAAATATTTTGATATCATTTATGCCAATTCAATTTTAACTTGCAAATACAAACTGACATGTGAGAGCATCAAAACAAGTTTAATGTACGCATTTAAACCAACAAGTTATACATTAAAAACATATTAATGTTAGCAATTAA